AATTATTACAATTTTAACAAATTTTCAGAAAAATTTATAAATTTTTTAGAAGATTGTGATATTCAACTTTTTTTTTTAATTGTTCATTTTTTTATCTAGATTTAAAAAAAATATCAAAAAAAGATAAAATAGAAATTTTATCCGAAAACATGAGAGCCAAAATTTTTCCCAACTTTTGAAGGCAAAAAAAGTTATCGAAATCTTTATTTTTTTTTTTCACGACATTTTTTATCATGAAATAATTTTTATTGTTTTATTGTATTTAATAATAGTTTTTATTGCAACTATAAATAGTTCTTCTTGTAACCATAAAAAGATAATTTATTGAGTAGATAAAAAACTCATTAATATAAAATGAAATTTATGATAAATAAAATTAATAATTAAAATAATCGACACTGAAGAAATCAACGGAAGAGAATCGAGTTAATTGATGTAGAAGATAAAGATGAAGTAATTGGAGCAAATAATAAGCAACTAGGTCTATTGGATACACGAGTAGAAGCAGAAGCTATTTTTACACACCTTAGGAATCAATAAAATAAGTGGCGATGCCCCACCGGGTCGACACAGAGAAAAATTTTAATTTGTTCGGGATTTTCTCGAACGAATTTATGGATTTTAATTAAACTTGTAACTTGGAATAGTTTATCTTGGCGATAATTTTACTAGATTTTTTTCAAATAACCGAGTAATTACTTCCCAGTTATCGGAAAAAAAAATTTAATTTGTATTTATTAGTTAAAGTAGTCTATAAATTTATTTCTCAGTGAATTATTTTATTTTTAGAAAATTCAATTAGACAAAAACATAAATTGAGTATTTTGAATGATAAATTTAAATATTGTAACCATAAAAGTGTCACATTGTAGAGAAAATTAAATGCTTACAGAAATCAGAGGACATTATTGATCATTAATCATTAGTAATTTGGAGTTACGCGCTTAAATCATTTGATAAATTGTTCTCAAGAGGATTACACAGTTAGAAAGATATTTTGCTGAACATATAAATAAGATAAAACAGGGATGAATAACCAATAAAGGCCGGAAATAGCTCGTTCCTGGTGACTTCGCCTTTCGAAACGAAGATGTACAAAATCATTGAGATTTATGTCTTCCACAAGTTCATTTTCGTCTTCTTCATGAGGAAATATGTGAGGTTCAAAATATATATAATGTTTAAAGGGGAAAAAAGGTAATAAAAATAAAAAGAGGATGAATAAATTACATTGCGATTTTTATTTCGCTTTTATTACATTTTTAATATATTTATATTTTACTTTGTATTTATATATTTATATTTATATACTTTTAAATCTGTTCAATATTTACAGTCTTTCGGTTTTATTACGTCTACTTATAGGTATTATTAAACATATAATTATTTTATTTATTTATAAGTATTTACAAAAATACAAAAAATTGGCACGTTAATAAACAGCAGTAGCGATTTTTTTTTTATCTATCACATGGTATCTACAACTAATTTTTATCATTAATTTTATTTATGCGTGCGTATACGTACATCCATAAATATTTATTTTTCGCGAGGTTCATTAGTTTGTTGGCATCATATTTTATTTAATATATTAAATATGAAAATTCATCAGCACTATTATAAATTCGTCTTTATTTTTAGAATTTAAATTTTTAAAAGCGGAATTATTTATTTTTTATTTCAATTAAATATTTAAATCTATTTAATGAATGAACACTGGATTGGCATTTAAAATTTTTTAAAAATAATAAATCATGCATTAAAAGCCAATACACGAAAAAATAATTTTTTTTTCTTCATAATAATTATCAATATTAATATAATGAATTTTCTATAAAAGCGAAACAACAAGGAGAAAAATATACATCCGCGTAAGTACTAATAAAAATATATACATAAGTATAATAATTTTGTTTATACTTTTAGTATAAAAAATTATTATAGCAAGCACATTGGGGACACTTTCAACAACAGTCTTCTATACAACAATTATTAATAATAATAATAATTTATAATAATATAGTTAATAATTAGCAGTTGGTAATTAATTGTAGCTCTAAGAGAACTTAGTTTTAGACGTTAGTTTTAGACGTATCTGGTCAGCTGAGTGTGAAACTCTTGGAGGCAAACAATTAGCTGACTGACGGTCGGTCGCTCGTCTGGCGACATCGCCCAACAATACGCCATCACGGCGAATAATTCATCTGGACAGTTTATCGGTTGCGCGAGTCTATAACCGTCTCGCAGGTATGCGGCCATATCGAACGGATCAACTTCTAGGTACGGCTGTTGTGCTCGTGTTGTTAATTCCCATAACAAGACACCAAACGCCCACTGAAAAATAATTTTTTTTCAATTAATTATTATTAAAATTATATTAAAAATTTTTTATTAATACTAGCAATCTTGCAGTCACTATGTGACTGCCGTGACTTTTGAACTATGAATAAATAAAATTTTGCTTTATTACATAATGACTTTTGTTAAGTTGCACTGTACTTTCTTAACTATTGACGTTTTTACAGATACAAGCTTGTCCCGATGTTACACTCATCAAGAGCTTTCATTCGAGTACCCACATGCATTTTCATATATTTTTCACATATATACATATATATAATATGTATAAATATATGAAAAATTGATATGGGTACTCGAATGAAAGATCTTGATGAGTGTAATATCAGAGTGAACTTATATCTTTAAAAATGTCAATAATTCACAAGATATATCTGTTAAATTGCACTGTACTTTCTTAACTATTGACGTTTTTAAAGATACAAGCTCGTCCCGATGTTACACTCATCAAGAGCTTTCATTTGAGTACCCACATCAATATTTCATATATTTATAT